CCCGCCCTCCTTCGCCTCTCCCTGCTGAAACCCTGCCCATTTCCATGGTACATTTCAAATGTGACCAAGATGCCTCTTGCTATTAGCCCCAGAGAAAATCAATCTTGCTTATTCAGGGCCAGAAGGCCATTTACTGTGTGTGTCTTAGTATGCTTGCATGTCCTGCATATGTATCGGAGCTTACAGCATATGCCTCTGAGTTAGGGATTCCGGGCATGCATTCTGTAAATGCCCTCACAGACTTTGTAGGCTAAACAGACTTTGTAGGTAAACATTAACCCTTATTCTTTCACTCTCAGTTCCCTAATCTTTTTTTTTTTTCAGTTCCCTAATCTTAAGACTGAATAAACCATCAACAATAGTATGTGCTACATTAAATAATATTTGTGGTTACAACTATGACATAGTAACTTTCAGAAGAAATTGATATTTGCATATGTCTTAGGTATTTTGATATAAATTTCAGTTCTTTAAAAGAAGATAAACTCAAGGGCAGGTGCTTTAATTTATTTGATGCTTTATTTCCTTTAAAAGCAGTACTATCGGAACCAGCAGTTGACACAACGGTAATGTCACTGGACTCCCACAGGGTTGACTGTGGTTTGAGTCCCAGATCCTGAGGTTAGAAACTCATGCCAGGCACGTGTACCTGTGTGCCCAAAATTCCAAGGAGAGAATGGATGAGAAGGGACTGTAGTGTGACCATCTCCACTGGGGAGTGATTTCTTGCTTTCTGTTTATATGTCTCCCTGGTGAGCACAAGTACCCTATAGCAAAAATCTCTCTCTTAAAAAAAAATAAAATAAAATAAAAAATAAAAAAGTAGCACTACTGCTGATCAGTTTCTCAAGTCAAGTGTGAGACACAACTCACCTAATAATAATTACAATAAAATTGTAATTACAGTGCCAATAACAATCAAGCCCTTACTGCATGCCAGCTACTGTACCTTACACATGCTTTTATTAAGCCCCTGAATGATCTGGTCAGGATGTTATCATCATCCTTATTGACTAGAATAGAAATGAAGGCCCAGAGAATGGCAATGACTTTCCTAAGGGACATCAGCTACTTTGCAATGGAATCAGAATTCAAATTCAGTTTGATCCAACTGCAAAGTCCATTTCATTTCTACTATAATAAGCTGCCTAAAAACTATCTGGTAGGAAAATTCCACATTACTTTTCACCATGATTAAAAAAAAATAACAGGGAACCAGCAGTTAGCATAATGGCTATGTCGCTGGACTCCCACGTAGTCAACCGCGGTTCGTGTCCCAGACCCGGTGGCTTAAAACTCACGCCGGGCGCGTGTGCGTGCGTGCCCAAGATCCCGAGAGGAGAATGGAGGAGAAGGGACTGTGGCGTGACCATGCCCCCTGGGGGGGTGATTTCTCGCTTTCTGTCTCTATGTCTCTCTCTCTCTGGTGAGCGCACGCGCCCTACAGTGAAAATCTCTCCAAAAAAAAAAAAAAAACGACAGCAATAAAACTTTGTATCAAAATCCAGATATTCCTTGTGGGAACCAGCAGTTAGCGTAATGGCTATGTCACTGGATTCCCATGTAGTCAACCGCGGTTCGTGTCCCAGACCCGGTGGTTTAAAACTCACGCCGGGCGCGTGTGCGTGCGTGCCCAAGATCCCGAGAGGAGAATGGAGGAGAAGGGATTGCAGCGTGACCATCCCCCTTGGGGGGTGATTTCTCGCTTTCTGTCTCTATGTCTCTTTCTGTCTGTCTGGCGAGCACACGCGCCCTATAGCGAAAAAAAAACTCTCAAAAAAAAAAAAATCCAGATATTCCTTGTATAGGTGAGCAGTAGAAAGTGAGATAAAATAATAATAATAATAATAATAATAATAATAATAATAATAATAATAATAATAATAATAATAAAAGCAGGCCAGCAAGTGGCATGGAGGTTCAGGCAGCTGGAACCCACATGTCTGATTCCATAGTTCAAGTCCCAGATCCAGCAGTTTAGAAATCATCCTGGACGCATGTGCGCACATGTCCAAAATCCCAATAGGAGACTAGAGAATAAAGGACTGCAGTGCAGCCATCCTTTCTGGGGGGTTATTTTTCACTTTCCTTTCTCTCTCTCTCTCTCTCTGTCTCCCTTGGCAAGTGCACATGCCATACAGCAAAAACCTAAATAAACATATAAATAACAATAATAAAAATCCCAGTAAAGAATAAGAAGAAGAACAATAGTTATAGACATAATGAAATAAATATGAGAGCAGGTGGCAGAGATGACCCCACAAGGGCAAAAACCTGACATATTTTACCAGCATGGAAAATATTTAGAATAAGGAAGGACTGGCATAGTGGTTAAGGTGCTGTACACCCACATGGCTGACCACTAGTCAAGTCCTGACCTGGAGGCTTGAAAATCATGTTGAGTGTGTGTGTATGTGTCCATGTCCAAAATCCCAGGAGGAGAATGGAGAAAGGATTGCAGCATGGGAATGATTCATTGCTTTCCCTCTCATGGTCTTTGTCTTTTTCTAGCCTATGGCAAAAAAAAACCTTAAAATTAAAAATAAATAAATAAGAAGAAAAAGGAAGGACTGAAAATGACAAAAGGGTTCCAAATAAGGAACATTTATGGAAAGAAATGCCAATTAGAGAGAAAAAGTTGCTTTATATATGCATGTGTGTGTGTGTGTGCGTGTGTGTGTGTATTTCATTTGACATGTTGAAAGTAGAGGGAAAGTGGGCCAGCAGGTGGTGCAGTGGTTAAGGTGCTGGACTCCCACATGGTCTACTATGGTTCGAGTCCCAAAACCAGCAGCTTGAAACTCATACTGGGTGTGTGTGCATGCGTGCCAAAAATCCTGAAGGAGAATGGAGGAGAAGGGATTATGGCCTGGCTATTTCCCCTGGTGGGGGTGATTTCTCAATTTTTCTTGCTTTCTGTCTCTTGCTGTGTCTCTGGCAATCACACATGCCCTATAGCAAAAATCTCTCTAATCTTTCTATGGTCAAAATTAAAAATAATTAAACAAATAAATGAAAAGTAAATTTATTCTTTCAAAAAAAAAAGAACAAAAAAGTAAAGAATAAAAAGGAAGCAATAAAAATATAGGGAAAGTCCTGAGATATACTTATAGCATCCTTAGATGAAAGACCATAAGACAACCAATTCATTAGATGAGACACAGGCAAGAGAGGGGATGGACATGGTCCCAGCACTCACTCTGATTTTCTACCAGTGACAGTAGATGCTTTTTTAAAAAATAAATTACCATAGGGGGACTACGAAAAGAAGTAGTGGGTACTATGGAAACGGTAGTATAAAATCATGAAAACACCAAGAGATCCTAACTTGATAATTTCTTTTCGGGG